AGAAGGCGAAGAAATGAGGTTGAAACGAAGAGGATAAAACGAGGAGATGAGGTTGAGGTTGAAGGTTGAGGATTGTGGTTTAAGGCGTTCGGGAGGAGGAAATGCGCTAGGAACTCAAAGGGAATAGCGTCAGGGTGAGGCTCAACACGTAATTGGCCCAAAGGGAGACTTGGGCGGTGAGTGGATCACGTGTCAGGGAATCGGAATGCGGACTGTCAGTTTCGTAGCTATATATATATATATATAGATATCTCCTGAGGAAACAGATAAAAAGCGAGGGATGATTGTAAACGATTTTATTCATTCCTTGTGCTTTCAATGGATGTGTGTGCTTCTCCCTATCATTATAAGTTATATTCTTGTTTGAACGCTGCAGCTAGGATTAGCATTGTTTTTGTTTTGAAAAAATCTGAAAGCTCCTTCACCATTGCTTCTCTGTTTACACAACGCTTTCTCTCATTACAGGTTTTGAAAATAGTTAATAGTTTATTCGCGGGATCGAGCGAAAACCTTGGAAGCCGTTCGGGAACCCAAAACTGTAACACCTTCGAAGTTCAAATCGGCCATGGTTCGCTCTGAACTCTCCTGACAATCAGGGAAATTCGCCCCTGCATGCGGAGAAATACATCCAGAGGCTCTTTGGCTGCTGACAAGAATGCCATTGCTGTTGCGGAGAAAGCGGGTCCAGTCTAGACATCCAAATTCTTGCCAGAGAAGAACCAAGGAACTAGATTTTCACTGCATGAGAGTTAACCGCTGATGGGTTTTCTTAAAATATCACAGATCCCACGCCAACTCACACCTGCGTGTACTAGGCCCGCGCCTCTTTTTGATTCTCAGAAAGTCAAAACAAAACAAAAAACAAAAAAAAAAAAAAAAAAAAAGGAAACATAAAACTCAAAAACTATAGCACCTATGGCCCTTTTTCTTTTCTTTCTTTTTTGACAACATGATTAAACAACCGAGTCTATGATGCAATCATTTATTTCGCTTGGTTGATATTCGACGCAACGTCTTTCTCTTTCCGTCTGCATTTTATTAAGATCCCAAGGCTGTAAAAACATCGTTTTCATAACGATCTGCAGAGTGGGAAAATAGTCTTGACCCCTTTTCATACATTTTAATGTTCTCCACGATGTTCAAATGGTGATTCTTCTGCAAGGGACGTGCAGAAACACATCGACGGATGCAGCGCGATCCCACGCTTACGGGAAAAAGTGAAAAACCCACACATGGAATCGGACCCTTCGAAATAAGAAGCTCGTTCCATATCGTAAAATATATATCGCATATTTGAGTTTATTGGGGACATTTGGAGGATATTCCATCGTTCTTCCAAACGGTGTATGTTGAAATATCTTTCACGACCTATATACCATTCCAACTGTACATTTGTTTAACTTGGACTCTCCAGGTTCGAGTTCCAACCTTCCTTTGAAAACCAGGACACGGAAACTTTCACGCTCTACACATTTGTTAAACATATTTCCTCACAATTCCCATTGGGCCGCCAACATCATCTAATGCGCACTCTGCATAATTTAAATAAATAAATAAATAAATAAAAATAAAAAGGAGCATTTTCTTTTTAGCTAAAAATCTCCTCCAGTCTCCTTGTGAGAAATGGCATTTTGGATTCCGGCTATATTGTTCCTTGATGTTTTCGCATACGATGGACGGAAACTGCTGCAGCTGAGAACGCAACTGGGCAATGTCTGCTGGGTTTGAAACCTTCTAAGAGCAGCGGTGGGTGCATGTATTGGATGTTGATCATGCATAATATTACCTTCGAATCTCTTAGAGGGTAACTAGTTATTAATGTCCAAATTTCGGGAACCCTACCTGATTGGGTGGGAATTAATACGTTTTCCATCGCGTGGGAGCCCATGAGTTCTCGATGGAAGGGATGCGGAGTTCTTCAAGGCGGTGGTGGCATCACTGCTCTCTCCCCTTATTGACAGCAACACTCTATCATATCTCCTCACTCCCCTCTTAACAACCATCTCTCTGCAATCGCCTGTCAAATGTTCCTATGAGGTCCTCAACAAATTGACAGCCAGTCTTTGCTTTAAGCCACCTTCAACTAAAAGAGCTTTTTGGAAAACGTGTGCACGAGGAAATGTTTATCATTCCTGGGCTCGATTCATGTATCCTAGATTGATAGGTTAACGCTGCTCGCGTTGAATTTTACTGCTGGTGGCAATGATTTGCAATCCGCGCTGGGGTTCATCTATCTCGTTGCTTGTCTGCTGCGGAACATCTCAACCGAGACAACTATCCTTTGACAAAAGGATAGAGCTGCTTGCCTTTCCTTCACATGAATGGGACATCAAAAACCGCTTTGCATTAGCTGGGACCAGGAATGTGTTACATTTCCTTCCCTTTCGATGGTCGCATGTGTCGATGAGCCATTTTGAGCTCGAGATATAGATATTTCACGAGCCTCAAGGCTCATGTTGGCTCCTCCCCCAGCTCTGTCGTGTCGGTGCTGGCCTACCTCCTGTCGTTGTCTTTGGCGCCCTGCCTCTTTTCAGTTGCAGAGCGGGTTGCAAAAATTATTCACAACCCTCAAGCCAAGTAGCTTGTGGTACTTTCTCCCTCTAATAAATTTCAGTTAAAATATATTTCATTATATCTCTCCCATATATGGTTGAAAAACGATTTTGAGTGTATGTTTACACATCATGTATAGTTATCTTTATCAAAATTGCCAATGTGCAGGACTGTACGGAGTAATATTATTTTTTGATTCTGTTGCAGCTCACATTCACTTCATTTTAGATGTATGCAGTCAAAGACTATGACATCTATCTATCTAGTTAAACTAGGATTTAAAACTATCTTGTGAATCTAATCAATATACATGACTTAAAACATGCAATATATGAAATTCCAGCGTTTTTAAAGGGTTCATAGTAGAAGACAAGCTAATACAGTTCCAAATGAGTAAGCAATCAATGAAACAATCAGAGTCAAAATCACAAATAGAGAAAAGCAACCATTTCAAAGAAAGTATTGGTAAACAAATGAAAATACACAGAGAATGATCTAACCTCTAAATTTGATGTTTTGCTAATTGTATACTTTTAAGTATAAATCTTATTTGGATTTAAGCTTTATTCTCGAGAGGCAATTTTTATAAAAGTCAATTGTGACGGCGGGGGCTATGGATACGGGAACCTCATAGAGACTGCCTAGCAACGGCATAGCAACTACCCCACAAGCCACTACTCCACAAACAACACCCCACAGAGACTGCCTGGCAACGGCATAGCAACCGCCGAGCGGAAAGGAGTATATAAGAAGATATCACTCCCCAGGCCCCTTTTTCGTAAATCACCGTAGTATTTGTTTACATGACTTGTCTGGTTGGCAATCAAACACCCGTTTATCTGCGCCTAGGTTGAAGCTGTAAACACTGAAGACCTTTTTCCTGGAGATCTCTCTCTTATATATATACTTGAGAATTTCTTCTTTTAGTTCTAGATGAAGATCTAGCCTTTTTTTTTTTTCTCATTGAAGGCTGGTCTATCTTTTCAATATTTTCTCAAAGCTTTATTCTTTCTATCTTTGAGATAAAAGAAGTAAACTAAAACTGAATATATGTGACTTCCTTGCAATTTTTATACTTGATTGTGATATGAGAATATGACTTTATTTTAACTTTGTAGTTAGAACAAGTATGATCCTCTCTACTATGATTTTCTGCATATATCTTGCAAGCTATAGAATGTTTACATACCTTTATAAAATGTTCTCACTTTTAACATCTTTTACATTGAATATGAGTTTCAATTATACATTTAGAGTTAATATATTTAAAGATTTTCAATGATTAATTAGTCATAAAAAGAGATGAAATTTTTGTCTACTCTAACGAATTAGCTGTAATCATAATTGAATCTTCTTCTTTCTCTTATTTGATCTCAGATCTGCTAAGTTAAATGAGTTACTTTTCAGTTTAATAGATAGATTATACCTCTCCATTTTTTTTTTTTTTTTTTTTTTTGGGGGGGGTAATATTATGCTTTCAAGCTGCTATGACATTTGGTTACCGCTGTTATACACTCCGCCAAAATTCAAATCCGTCGCACAACGCTCATAGCCGCAAACTCTCTCTAGGCATTCACCCAGCCTTGAACCAGCAAAGCCCCGGAAATATTACCTCACATATTTCACGCCTGCTCCTAACTAAATCCGCTATCGCTTTCCTCTCATAGCGAGCTCCCCGGCGGGCTCGGAAGGACAGAAAATCCGTTTCAGAATATCAAAGGCTACCTCCTTGTCATAATTGTCCTTGCCGAGGTTGTGTATAGCCCTCAGCATCGAGGTGAGCGTTGGGTTCGTTTCCGATGGGTTGCAGGTCGCTTGGACTATGCGTACTTTCCCGTAAATGAATGTCACGATCGTGGCCTTGGCGCGCACTATAAGCATTCGCACAATCCCATGGATACGAATAATGGGAAGGAGGTGCAAAGACGAGAGGAGGTGAACATACCGCCAAGAAACCTTCCTTGTATATGGGCTTGGGCATATACAGGCCCTTTTCAGGAAGCCACACCATCTCATTCATCTGACGGGAAAAGATCGAGGTGACTGCCAGTAGTTCACTTTTCAGAAGATAATCTCTATGATTTTCTTGCGGTTTGGTGTCGAACGTGCTTGAGCGATCCCTAATCATGCAGCTCCAGTGGTTATGACGAAGATGGAAGATCTGTTCCCCCTTAATGCGAAGGTGGGAATCGATTATGATGCCGATGCCCAGCCTGCGGAAAAGCGGGCCATGAAACCTAATAAACCGTCAAGAGGAAGTAAGGAAAAAAAAGAATAAAGAAGCATCAAAGATATAATTATACATGCTCTTCAACCTTCGTGAAAGGAACCTCATCTAGAAGCTGGTGGGTAGCGGTCTTCATGAAGCCAGAGAAACCCCAGTCGCTTGGGAAGCCCTGACCTTTCTCCGGTGCAGTATCTCTCTCGCATTTGTGGATGGCTTGTAGGAGCTCTGGGGTTGTTGTGGAAAAGTCACCTTCTCTCTGGTGCTGTCCCTACAATGCACCTTCAGGTCTTTCGTCTTTTTCAGCCACGCAAAGGGGAACGAGTCTGACGAGTTAAGTGATGTACAGACGAAAGAGGTCCAACATGAGCCAGCCAACGTCCTCCGGGCAATTGAATGGCTGTATTTCTGATTGCATAGCGTGCTATTAATGGAATGTCTGCTGCTCTGTTAGTCTGGTGGGTAGTAGATGTCTGTTGACGTCGATGATGATGATATTGAATTCTTTAACGCGTGCGGACTGTCGCCCATCACGTGGCTTACCACCATGGGAAAAAGTGAAATACACCCCAGGCCGCCTTTTTCTCTTCTTCTTCTTCTTCTTCTTCTTCTTCTTGATATTTATCTTTGTCGGCTCCGTCGCCTTACGTATCTCTGCTGCCTTGTGGTTGGCCCATGCTCTCTCCACCTCAACTTAACTTCAAGGTTAAACTTATCATAGAACTTTAGCGCGGACATGGCAGCTCCCTCTAGACCTGGACAAAATCCCATCCAACAAAAAGGAATGGCACGAAGCGATACAAAAGTATGGCCTTCAACAGCGCACCCTCGAGCAAATGTGTATGGAAGGTAGCTGCCTCCTGACCAATCTTGGATCTGAGAACGGGCTTCTAATGTCGAGAGTGCTAAACAGGGAGCTTCTCTGCATCGACTGTTCGAAAAGAAGCTTTACTTACCATCCGATGCATTTGGCCCGAAAAGAAAAGGGCCAAAGATGCCTCCACGTATATTGCCAATCTAGAGTATTTCTCCAATGAAGACCATTCCGATGATGCAACAAGACTTATAAGCGGAAACATGCTTGGACTTGATAAGCTGAAGACCTTGTATCGCATTATATGCACCCCAAAGGAACTCCGCAAGCGCACCCCTCCTGAATACTTCGGCACGCTTGCAGATGGGCTAGGCCCCTTCTCGATGCTGGTTAATTTGTACAACCAACTTCTGGATAGATCGATTCAAGCCCCAATCTATGAACGTCTATTGAGCGGGGCTCCCGAAAGGGCCAGATTCTATGACGCTACGAGGCCCTCAACAGTTGTAGATCCTACAACTCCAACCCGCCAGGGCATTATCTTAGAGGAGCTGATGACAGACGTCGAAGATCAGCCATTAGCCCGTTGTCCTGCTCGTAAGCGTCCACCTGCTGCAGCTTCAGTTACAGAACCAACAGATGGGGAACCACCTCGCCGAACCCCAACCGAGACTCTACTTGCGGATTTTATGGTTACTCTCCTCAGGGGGTTAGCAAGCCTTGTACAGACTCTCAACCCCAGGCCCCTCTGCATCGCAAATGCCTTTGAGACGACCTATACATTCGGCCCTGTCCGTAATACTTCTCAGCAACAAGTCGACATTGGGTTCCGAGCCCGTATTGATGGGAGCATCCCATTCAGACTATCTCTGGCTGGGATGCCACGTGAAGCCGCGATATTCGAAGCAAAACGCGCGGCACGAGGGGAGAGCGGGGGTAGTATCCCTGTTTTGGCCCAGTGCTGAGTCGATGGAGCATGTCGCCTACATTTGGAAACGCCATGAAGATGACCTGACGGTGATACCAACCCCTTATAAGTTACTATTATTTTCATATAAAATTCAATTTTATTATATTTTGAAAAATTAATTATACATAAAAGTTAAAAATATCTATAGAAAGCTTTAATAAAATTTTAAAAATTATAATATTTTTATATTAATTTATTTTAGTTAACTATAATAATTTATATTATATAAAAAAAATAAATAGTAAAAATAAATAAAAATTAAACAAAAATATATTATATTATTAAATTTATTATTATTATTAAATTATTAAATAATTTTATAAATGACTAATTTTTAAATTATATATATATATATATATATTATTTTTTAAAAATTTAATAATGTTTTTAATTCTTTAATTTTAAAATAATATTTTTTATAATATATAATATTTCTCTTATTTTATTTATACCTATCTTTTGTTATATTATATCTGATATAATAGTCACTATTTCTAAGGTAAAAATTAACTAGCTATAAATTATGTTATAATTTATGTTACTGCTAAATATGATTATCATTGTTATTAATAGTAAATTCTAATCACTCAGATCAATAATTGATATAGTCACTAACTCTACACATTCATGATTGAATAATAATGATGATAATAATAACCATCTTCATCATCATGAATTGATGACATTTCACACAAGTTAACGTTGATTAGAAAGTTGAAGATATTTTGAGTTTTAATTACTCGTGAATTATATTGTCCGATTTTCATTGATTCTCAGGTAAAATCTTAGCCTTTCAGAGGTATTTCTTTGAGTTTACGATTCATCTTCGAACTGCCTTACGTAAGATGGGACACGGCGAGTTATCTACATCCTGTCTCATTCCCATTCAGCTGGAGATGTTGAGCTACGTGTTTTCTGATATGAATAGATCTTTCTACGCCTCACGGCTCGAGCAACAGCCACGTGCAGTAAGTTTGATGAAGCTGTATATGCGCTAAGCTCCATTCGGTAATTTTATTTCCCAATCCAGTAAGCATGTTATTAGCTTGACGTCCCTAGAGTTTAAAGCTTCTTGCACATCACTGAAGTTAACCTTTCCATACATCCGATACAAACTAAAATTTATAGATAGAAACACATTTTCATTGAAATCCAAGAGATCATGGAGAACTTCTCTTTCTAAACAACAGGCACGACAACTCCCCGCGCTCCCCATCATGAAACTGTGGGAAAGAATCAAGGACGATATCCGAAACGACGTGAACTGGAACCGGGCCACCCACCTGGTCGTTCAGGGATATAGAGCTCTCCCCTTAGCGGCAGCCCAGTATATCCGGGAGAAGCTGCCTATTATAGATTGGCTCCCCCGGTATTACTATCGATGGCTGGTGAACGATGTAATTGCCGGCTTGACAGTCGGACTCCTGCTGATCCCGCAAGCTCTATCGTATGCGAAAATAGGCGCGATTCCAATTCAATATGGGCTGATGTCAAGCTGGCTTCCGGGCGCTCTATATGTGTTTATGGGAACAACTAAAGGTTGATCATTACTGGTGGTTTTTTTTTGTCCCGTAATTTTGCGCTGTTATGTTTTATTTCTTGACGAAATAAAATCTTCGTAGCTCATTGCTGATATTTCCTTCCACAGATGTATCCACGGGACCAACATCCCTCATCGGCCTCGTGACTGCGGAGGCAGTCGTCGCTCTGCAAGGGGATTATACGCCTTCGCAAATTGCATCGGCAATGGCGATGATGATGGGTGTGTACAGCATGTGCATTGGACTTCTACAGCTGGGCTTCCTCCTCGAATTCATCTCTCTCCCTATCTTGACTGGGTTCGCTTCTGCCGTGGCTATGACCATAATTCTTAATCAAATAAGCTCTCTTCTCGGTGAACCTAGCGTTGGCGGGAGCACTGCACAACGGATTCATGGTATTTTCCGCAACTTGCCGAAAGCGAATGGTTTTACATGCGCTGTCGGCCTTACGGGAATCGTTTTCCTTGTCGTTCTTCAAGAGTCAGGGAAGAGATGGGGTGACAAAAGTAAGATTATCTGGTTTCTGTCCACCATGCGGGCATTATTATGTCTGGTTCTCTATACCGGCGTGAGTTACGCCGTGAACAGGAATCGCGGAGACCCGGATAATTTCCTTTTTGCTGTTTCTGAAGTCCATGCAAACGGGCTGGAGCGACCTAGGATTCCGGATGTCAATCTCATCGCCAAAGTCGCCGGGCGGACTGTTACTTTATTTGCGGCCACTGCCGTAGAACACACAGCTATAGCTCGCACCTTTGCTGTTCAAAACAACTATGTCGCCGACCAGAGTCAGGAGCTCTTTTACCTCGGAGTTACAAACTTCATAAACAGCTTCTTCAGTGCCATGGGTGTTGGAGGAGCCATGTCTCGTACCGCCGTCAACTCTTCCTGTAATGTGAAATCCCCTCTCTCAGGCCTTGTCACCACCTGTTTTCTTTTGCTATCCATTTACAAGCTCGTACGGGTGCTCTATTGGATACCGAAAGCCACACTGGCAGCCAACATCATCACCGCCGTTGCGCCTCTTATTGCTCCTCCAAGTACTTTCTACAAGTACTGGAAAACCTCTCTAGCCGACTTTATTTCTTGCATGATAGCCTTCTGGGTATCTCTCTTTGCAACGACAGAAATCGGCCTCGTTACCTCCGTCGCCTTCAATGTTGCCTACTGCATTGGCCGTCAGGTATTCGCCCCCATCTCGACCGTGGGATATGATACGATGCAGGGAGAAGACAAACCCCAGCCAGAGGTTGTTAAATTACCCACTTTCATACCCCCAAATGTCCGGATTTTCCGGTTCACCGACTCCTTCTACTTCCCCAACGCCTACGCCATAAAATCCCACATACTCGACGTGATTCAAACCTTCCACGCCCCCTCGTGCAGTACCACGATCGGCTCCGAACCAAACCGCGGCTGGTCCGTAGTAGCCGAGAAACGAATTTCCAGACTACGAAGGAGGGAGAGTATTTTCGATATTTCCACGCTTCCTCCCATCCAGCTTGTGGTGTTTGATTTTACTAAGGTTAACCACACAGATGCGACTGCCGTCGCGTGGATGCGGAACCTTTTCGATGAGTTGAAGAAATATGCGGGGAATGCGGTTGAGGTTAGATTTGTGGGGATGTCTGATTATGTGCGCCGGCGGTTTGAGAGGGGTGGATTTGAGATTATGGATGAGAATTGTTCGGTCGATGGTACTGGTGATGATGCGGATGTTGTCTGGTACTACCAGAGCGTCGTGAGGGCCATCTATGAACCGAGACGGAGGGTTGGGGATGGGAGCCCCCAGTCGATTCCGGGTGACAAGGAAGACGAGTAATTGAGTGGACGAAGAATTTTGTGTGATACATGAAGCTTAATGTGGTTGGTAGCAGTTAATGTCTTTCCTAATCTGTTAGTAAAGGGTCATATTTAGATTTTAGAAATTCTGTCTATAGAAATGTCTTTTTGAATATAAATAGAAATTGCAAAAACTGACCATTATTTGTCCAGAAGACTATATTCGGGGTGATAAGACTTATCTCCCTTCACTATTTATTAATCTCAGAACAACATTTGTTCAACTAACCTCTAGTCTGAAAAAATTGGACCGAATCATTCAGTTATTTTAACTTAGCTTAAACCAACCAGGTTGCAACTTTTCAAACACCAGATTCGGATCATATTTTGCCTGTAATTTCCGTAGCTGCTGCAAATTCTTCTTGCCATATCCAACGAAAGGCGACTTGATGGGATCCTGCATAGTTCATGTATACGAAATCGTTCAGCAAACCCAGTTCGGCCGCGGCGCCATTGGACTGGGATAAAATCGATTCACTAGCTGATATAATGATATCGTCATCACTGGCACTAGCCCAGGCGAAGTTGACCAAGATAACTGCAGTTATACAGAGGTAGCCAGTGTTAGCTAGCAAGATTGTGCATACAGCTTTTCCTTCTATTTCTTTTGAACGGGGATATAGGAAATCTTTGCACTGTGCGTGAAAAGAGGAGAGATAGGAGAGGAAAGAGACCTACGGAGCAGCGGTCCGTCACCGGGGCTAATGCCAAGTATGTTCCCGCCCCGTTTTGAGAATTTTGAAATCATCGGTAGAGTTATTGCTTGAAAATTAACAGCACAAACAAATCCCTCTAGGTTGCTGATTTCTCCCTTCACCCGATCTAGCTCCGATACAACGATATCTACAATTCTATTCTGCAGCTCGACGCTGTTTTTGTAGTTAGCCGTGGCGTACCGATCGCGTAATCCTGGGGGAGGGTTAACAGCAATCATTTCGTTGGAGAGATTGGAGAGGCGTATAAGTCGAGTGTTATCCTGGATAGGAGGAATGTTTGCGAGATTTCCAAAACTGGATATAAAAAGCTCCGGATCAGGCACGGGACGGGCGTAACCTGTTATATGGCCGCATATCCACTGGCCTCCAGCATATGCAAAACTGGTTATTATGGCAAGATCCGGGTCGTCGGCTGCATTTTTGTTAAATGAAGCCAATCCCTCTATTAGATGTTCTTTGGCATCTAGTGGGTAAGCGCGTATGGCGCTCCACGTTTCACCCTGGGGATAGGTGTCTAGGTCAAAGCGGGTTACGATACCGAAATTGTTCCCTCCACCTCTCAAGGCGCGGTATAGATCTGGGTACGAAGTCTGATTGACGTCTCGTAGTCGCCCATCAGCCATGACAACCTGTTTGTCGGGAGAGATATTAGCGTGTCATGCATCTCGTGACTAATGAAACGAAGAGAACAAGAATAACTAGCCTGATAGTTGACAACATTATCGCAAGCAAGTCCTTCCTTGCCGGAGAAAAATGATATACCGCCTGCAAAAGAATCAGACAACATCATAGCATATTGTCTCAGTGTGGATTCTCCAACTTACCCCCAAGCGTCAGTCCTCCAACCCCCAGAGAAAAAACCCGTCCACCCACAACCATAAGATCCATCTCATCGAGTTTCGCATACACTTCATCCCATCTAGCCCCAGCGCCAACGTAGGTGATCCGCTTATCATCAGACACATCTATTTCACTAATAGACCGAAGATCAATGGTTATTCCTTTTTCGATATTAGATGCGCCAGGAACATCCGAGTGACCTCCGCTGCGGACACTAAACGGGCATTTTGTCTTCCGTGAGACTGCAATCGAGGTCGACACCAAATGGGATCGTTTGACAACAACAAAACAGCTTGGTGATAAATCGGACTGCTGTTGCGCCCAATAACTTCCCCGTGTGGAATTGTAGTCTTCAGAGCCAGGGAATTGTACTTCAAGTGGAAGCACAGTGGCAAGAATGTCGCACTGCATAAGTAAGAGTGCTGTATTAATATCCGCTACGTAAAATCAACTCAAGAAGGAGTGTGAACAGGTCAAATGAAGTTGGCATTAAAAAAAAGAGTTAGCTTCATCCCGCCTTCTCACAGCGTCGACTTGGCGCAGGAATTGCTAATTCAAGCTCCCGTATATGTGCAAGAGCTGGCCGCAGACCCAGCTGTTCAATGGTTTGGTCTAAAGTGAGTGGCACATACACATCAGCTGTTCGAGCTCCTACAAGAGGACATCTGGCCGAAATCGCCAACCCCAGGCTCCAGTGTATGGATGAGAAAATACCCATGGAGAAGACAGGTCTGGGAACAATAATATATCAATATATCTCACACGTGTGATTGGAGAAGTAAATCCGCAATGGGAGAATGACAGAAAGCAGAGGACAGGTCCGGCTCCTGCCTTGGATATATATGCCCAGAATTTGACAGCATATTGCAAATTATCCGACAGCAGGCGCAACCTTGGAGTAGTGTGCACTAGGTTCAGCAGGTTGGGGTCATGGGCGACAATATTCTGATAAAGTGATGCACTGCAAGCCTGACAGGCCAAACGTTCGAAACAACGATACCACCAATAAGATGTAGGCACATGAGCTGATCGTGTTTATGCGTTGTTTCTCCGCAAGTATTGCGGGTGTCGGTGGAACATCCGTGATCCACTCATTGGTGTTGCTTCCGCCATTCGACAGTCGATTTTTCTCGGCGCATAACGTCCCCGTCCTAATCCAACCCCGTAATGTGCTCGACCTTGCACCGTATCCCATGCTGAAAAGCGCATACGGACTTCCCTTCACAAAAGGGTTTATTGGCACCTGTGCCAGTCTAGGAAAATTCTCCGGAGATCCAGTGCGGGGATAGCATCGAATGATAAATACGCGAAATGATGAGATCCAGAGATCCTTTCAACCGGGGCTGGCTGTCGGACAATGTTTGGAAATCAAAGAAATATCTGACTTGCCGTGAAATTTAAGGTTGTGGTTACCACCCGTCACACTAACCATCAATGGCTTAGCCCAGCCCAGCCCCGGCTCTCGGGCCGAGGCCGGAGTTTCACAACGATAACCATTCTTTTTATTTTATTACTGTTCGTTCTATGGGAGGTTCTGTTTCTAGGTGAGCTGTGTTGCTAATATGGATTCTTGTTGGAGTACATCATATCTGCCTGATCTCCTCTTCCCCAGACCACACCCTTTTTCTGGATACGATAGCCAATCTTTCTGGGGACGGCGCCATCTTGCATCCTTCCGATCAGCTCTGAGAAGTATTTAGAGGATTTGAGAGCTGTTATTAGCGAAGAGAATGTGGTGATATATCTTTGGAACAAAGATTATGTCATAGCAAATAAATGAACAAAGAGTGTTTTCGTTGCCCCATCCAATGCGGAGAACTAATCAGTGGAAGATCTGATGAGTGGGGCGAAACACTTCTCTCAGACCCGTATTGTAACCCATTTGTTTTATGTCGGGAAATCCAAGCAGGAACGTTTAGCGGCACGAGGATTTCCTGGCATGCGTCGAAATGCCAACAGCTCTTCCTGTCAGGATTGTGTATTCGTCTCAGTGGATATATATCGGTTGCTGTCCCTGTGTCGTCCTATAAAAAAAAAAAAAAAAAAAAAAAAAAAAGCTCTTTCTGAGTAAGAACCGGAACATGGCGCTTGGTGGCAAGGAAGTCGGTAGAAATATCAAGAATGAGTTGATGTCGGGTTTTCACATTAGATTGCTCAAAGCAGTCTGTCTGCAGTTAGGATGAGTGCCTCTTTTTGTCTCAAATGAGAGTTGACGCTGGAGAATCTAAGGATATATCAGCGTGCTGCAAAGCATGATGATTGCACGAAAGCAAACACTAACATGATTATCATTTTACCTCGTTGGTTGAGCATCATTAATATGGGGTCATCTGGAAACCCACACCAAAGAGAAGAGAAAAGAAAAGAAACGCAAATCAAGCTCATTCGTCTAAAGTCACGGAGAGATTGAAAAAAGGCTCGATCACTGGTCTCCGAGCTCATCTCATCACATTTCGCAAACTCAGATTATTCATACGAGGTCTCAACAGCACCAGACAATCAGCCACACAAGTTCGCGCATACATACACTTGAACGAACATGGCCACCTTTGGTCGTGGTCCCTCATCCGATGGAACAAGTTCGGATTTACTCGAACATCCGCACGCTTCCCGCGTCGAATTTTCATTAATCAAACTCCTTTACCAATCAATAATCCAGCAGCGGTTATCGTGGGAAACAATGGCATCTGAAGCTAGAACAAGACCGCCTGCAGACATGTTTATGGACTGCCGCGGAAGGCCACCAAGCGAAAAAAAAAAAGGTCAAACACTTGAAGATAGTGTGCCTAGACTTCTCAAACGAATGTGTAGAAAGAAGATCAGGAATTGATAACCTCTGGGGAACACGCGATTCTTAGCGGATCGCTGTGATTCTACTGTACAGAGTATGGTCCTCCCGAATTGATTATGCATAAGTTTCAGGGGTTAGTCGAGGCATATCCTGGGAAGTGCCGTCCCAGTGAAACCGCGGGGCTTGTGCTTATTCCCGATGCCAAGGGTGGCTCTAATTGGTTATCAAGGTTTTCTATGTTCAGCAAAATAGGGGTTCGAAGTTCGCTGATACATGCGAAACGGCCCCGGGAGACCATGGGATGAGGGATTGGTTGCCGTTCTTTTCAACAGGAAAAAAAAAAAAAAAAAAAAAAGAAAAAGAAAAAGAAACCGGAGAGTTTGTTGATAACGAATCAGCCACACTGGGAACTCTTTTGATGCGTTTTCCTAAGTGCAATGGTACTTCAATAATCCTGGCGAATCATGAAGTATACCCAAAGAGTTTTGGACCTGTTCGCCCCAAACACAGTGCATGTCACAGATAGCAGCGCTTCCAATTGATACGAGAAATTGTTTCTCAGTTAAAGACATGTTTGAAGTCCCCATTAAGGGAGAGTGAAGATTGACCAAGGAAATGCGGACTATTTTGTTATATCTGAGGTTGCTTCATGGTTCTTATTGCCCAATAAACGTTAATAATTTTGAAGGATCCCTAGAAATATACTCGGAGGGGCATGGACTTCAAGACTCAGCCATGTAATTAGCTCCTCGACAGGTGTCAAACGGCAGCCAGAGCGGCTACTTCTAAAAAGATCCACCAAACAACGCCACAATGCGGCTATTGAATATCCATTTGCCTCATATCCTCCGAATTTGGAGATTTCTTGCCATGCTCATGATGTTACAATGCTGATTCTTGTTAAGTACGTATATTTAGCCAACGCTAGCCATTCGAAAGCTTGGGGATGAAACGGTCGATCCATTGGCTATAAGAGCCGGGTGAAATCCGCAGATATGAGGGGGGAAGAAGCAAAGGGTTTTGAATTTGAGTTACGGCGGTTATTCGCTATTCCTCGAGTCCGATAGATAATAAGGAAAGTATTTAGTCCAAGCGAGCGTCGAACGCTATAGTTACCATCAGAGCGACGTAAAGAGATGGGTGGAATTTCTTTGGATACTCCCACAACCCAGATCCGGAGAAGTGTCAAGTCTTACGGTCGTTAGTTAAAGTAACTGGGCGAAATATGAGGGGATGAAAGATAGACCCTTGGGGAGCCTTGGCTAGTTATTAGTTGACCAGTTGACCCAATGTTGCTGGTTCCCCCCGGTGGCTGACAATTGCTGACGGGCGAGCGCGCCAAGACAACTCGAAACCGCGTTGTTAATTCCAACCTCCACCTCCGCTTTCTGCTGAGACAAAACCAGCCAGCCAGCTTCATCAACCGATGTCATTGCAAAGAGCGGACGGCATCTCCCCCCGGTAGAAGCTCAATAGTGGCCCTCTCACGGCAATCGATATGCCAATTTACCCACTGCAGCAGCGAAATCCGGTTTGATTGGTCAAGGGAGAACTCGGCGTGCGGGCTCCGACCCACATCTGTGTATCAAGGAAGATAATTAATTGCTGGAGAAGTTCCTTTATTATTGGCTGGCATATTGGGTCGAGGAGGAAGCAACATGGCACCCACAGGATTGATTGACAGGCTTAAACACCTGTACAGCAAAGACGGTATATTTCTTTGTGTTTGCTCTTTTTCTGAAATTCCCAACCGCTAGATGTTCTCCTTCCTGACACAGTCCCCTTCGGCTTAGAAAAACCGCAGCCAGTGCTTTCAGTATACGCGGCTGTCATTTTATCGGTATGCTTCTTTTTATTGACTTACATTTAAATGGTTTCTGCTGTCCATCTGAAGTATTGGATACAACCCGCTGTCTTGAAGAGCACTCCGCATATCATCGTTTATTCACCATTGCATCTAAAAAGCGCAATCTCTTAATTTGACTCATCCTTTGAATTTTAGGTGATCTTTACTCTGCTCTATGTTATACCATTCTACGTCTCTCCCTCAACCAGGCCATCTCCAGCTCTCAGCCGAGATGCACCGTCCGTGATTAAAGCTCGCATTCGAGCCGTCACCACATCATGCTTTCTCTCGAGTCTCGGGTTATTCTGCTACTTTGTATATAAAGCCAATTACGCGCCCTCAGAAGCCCTACGGTTGTTAGGATGGTGGCCGATGGGGCCGCTGGAAATCGGAAAATGTCTGCTGCTCACCACACTTCTTTTCATGGGCCCTCTGTTCGAGGCCGGGATTGTCGAGGGCGAGTGGAGAGATTGGATTCGTGGAAGGCGAATCGCAGAAACGCTGGGAGGGTGGATTGGCTGGAGGAATTTCGTCGCTGTGAGCTCTCTTGTTGGCCGGGATAAACACCCCATGCTGCCCCCCCCCCCCCCCCCCCCCCCTCCTCCGGCCCAGTTATAAGTTTGTAACATCCCACAGGGCCCCATCACGGAAGAAGTCATCTTCCGCTCCATAATAATCCCCCTACACCTCCTAACCGACCTCTCCCCAACCCGAATCGTCTTCACGACCCCTCTCTACTTCGGGATCGCCCACGTCCACCACTTCTACGAATTCCGCCTAACCCACCCACTCACCAACCTCGCGCCGTCCCTAGTTCGCACCCTAATCCAATTCGGCTACACCACCATTTTTGGCTGGTACGCAACATTCCTTTACCTCCGAACAGGCTCTTTGCCCGCAGTAATCATGGTGCACGCCTTTTGCAACTTCTGCGGCCTTCCGCGGCTGTGGGGACGAGTCGAAGCGCCAGCATCTGCAATCCCCATCATCACCCGGGGCAAGGAGGATGTGGATGTGGGATCCGATCACGTTGCCCATAAGCCGCTGAGTATCGGGTGGACGGTTGCATATTACATTATTTTGGTTGCGGGGGCGTTCGCGTTCCATTTTCAGCTGTGGACGTTGACTGAGTCACCGCATGAGTTGGCATCTTTTACGGCTAGTGTCAAATAGAATGGAATAGAATGTTTGATGCTGGCGTGCACGCGTACATGTATACGATATTTTCTTCCTTCCTTCCTTCCTTCCTTCATCTTCCTCTTCTTCTTTTTTTTCTTTCCTTTTTTTTTTTTTTTTTTTTTTTTTTTTCAACTGGCATGGGATAGAATTTGCAGGATAGGGCTCAGTTCATCTCCAGAATGGGGTTCAAATTAGTTTATTACCTTTATTTACCGATGGACGGGTTGAGCTGAGAGATTACATTATGTAGCTACTTGATATGATATATGGAGAACTAATTACATCTGTTATGGTTTTTTTTTCATCAAATACAGTATTGCTGATATCCATAGAGTGCCAGTTGGCTTGTGTACTCTCTGGTTCTTAGGCTTTTCGGTCCTAATCGATCTCTAATTTTCAAAAAGAAAACTGTGTAGTTACATATCGAGAATACAGCAAAATTTGGGTATTATATTTCCTGTTGACTTGACCGTCTGCCACTTGAAGATACTACAGTTGGGAGTCGAAGTGGAGCATCTTGTCTTGTCTGGGATATGTAAATGTTAAAACGCGGATTGAGATTTAGGTTAGAACCAAGCTTCGATGTCATCTCGGAACATCGGCTCCACAGAGTCCACACCTAGCATTGCCGTTGCAGTAAATAACGAGGGAGTATAAAGCAAAGCATTGAGTCCCAGACGACTTTCACGGCCTATGCTACTGAATAACAAATATATTTATAGGAACGCAATTATGCCCGTCAATCTAATTCCAATGCGACGAGATTTTTGTTGAAAACCCAGAAGAAAAGCAGAGAGACCAGCTCCTCAAATAGTTATTAATCACTTAACCCCCTTCTTTCACCCAGCTAATGCGACATCAGCTTCAACGATCCCTCAAAAGAGTAGCAATAATAGAGACCTCACAATGCCACCCAGAAGCAACTTCTCACATACCATCCTCCGCACAGTCCATGTCCATGAAAGCGCAAAAACCTTCACCGTCCCCTTCCCCTTCACAACAACCCACTACCCCCAGCTCCGCCAACACAGAAGCGCCCGCAACTCCTTCTCATCCCGCCGTATAAGCATTCCCCCTCCCTTTCCCGTGATACCCTCATGCCCGGAGCCCACGTGTCCCTGCGCGCCCATGCCTGTGATGCCTGAGGGACTGGAGATTGACCATGCGCAAAATCTCAATGGGACTATGGCGCCGTATGCACAGCAGCTGCTGGTATCGACGGGGCGGGTGAATTGGAGGAGTAGGATTGATGAGGACGGGGAGGGGGAGGGGTGGGGGATGCTGGTGAGGGGGTTGAAAGGGCTTCTAGGGAGGGGAGGGAAGTATAGTGATGTGAGTGCGCTGTTGTTATGGAATGCAAGGGGAGGGGGGCATGGGGAAGTGTGCTATCTATTGGTGGTGGCTTTCGCCATGGAAGAAAATGAAGAAAGGGACTATGGAGCATAAATATATAACCTGGTGTGAAGGTAACCCTTAAATATGAGCTGCGCTAACAACCGTGGACGAAACAGCCCTACAACAACATCATGATTACAAACTCCTCCTTTCAACCCGCACAAAGCCAAACGGACACCGCCCAAGCCTCCGCCCTCCTCTTCCCCTCCTTCCGCTACTTCCCCGCCATCCCCCTCGACCCCAGCAGCCTAGAAACCTTTACCCGCGCCTACCTCCTCGCCACCTCCCTCCACTCTGCCCACGACGTCCTCCCCGAGCCTCAAAAGACCCTCCTGCGCCGCGACCCGTCCCTCCAACCCTCCTTCACCCCCAACATGACGCAGATATACCACTCACCTACAGTCCTGATATGCGGTCACGGCCACCGCGACCAGCGGTGCGGAATTGTGGGTCCGCTGTTGCAAGCTGAGTTCCGGCGTGTGTTGCGCGCGAAGGGTTTTGTTGTTGCTGTTGGTGGTGGTGGTGATGGTGGCGCATGTGGCGATGGCGAAGGCCATGGAAGTGGTAGTGGGGAGTTTGTGGATGCGATTGGACGGGCGAATGTGGGGTTGATAAGTCATATTGGCGGGCATAAGTTTGCGGGGAATGTCATTATCTATCTACCGCCCTCCGCGACGGTTGAGGGTGGCAGTCAGGAGGATGGAGGGGTGATGTCGTTGGCTGGGAAGGGGATTTGGTATGGGAGGGTTGAGCCGAGACATGTTGAGGGGATTGTGGAGGAGACAGTGTTGCGCGGGAGGGTTATTTCTGAGCACTTTCGTGGAGGCGTTGGGAAGGATGGTGAGCTTTTGAGGTTGTGAAGGGGTGAGGATGGGGATATTGCCTTCAAGGGGAAGTTGTGTATGATATAAACTATTTTGGAGATGCATTGGTTAACACAGGGATATATTTAGATCTAGATAGATATATATTTTGGTGAGAGATATTTGGTCTTTCTACGGGGCATTAGAGTGTTTATTATTGCTGTTACGTTAAGAGTCCTGTACCTGGTTTTTATATTCGGTTCAGGGGCAAGTTCACAGAGCCTGGTTCAGGGCGGAAGTATGATATCATTCAACTATTTGGGGGCCTGACCTGATCTGAAAACTAAATCTTCTAGGAAGTGCCCTCTTTTTCACCCTCTTTTTCACCGCACCGTCTGGCGATATTGAGTCCTCCCAGGACTCGTTTGGACGCTGGGTGCACTATATGAAGCCGCATGATTCACATGCCTCTCATTCAGGGGTATACGCAATATCCAACCTGCAGCTCACTGGGTTAGCCTTAAATACACCCCCTAATTTTTCTTTCCACATCATAACATTACCTTTAACTCTAGGACGCAAGATATTGGCGACTAATTCTCTGAAAATGCGGAATGAACATTCCTGGATGCCACAGAGTATCTAGGGCTGTCAAAGGATGTGGCAGACGACGGTTTAGCAGCTTGTAGTCATGGAGACTGCTTTTCCGCAACTCGCAGTTGGCCTCGCTCCCTAAACATGCCCAGTGGTTGATGCTGATGTGAAGTTGATAAGCTTGATATCAACAACTTCTACTAACTAACTAAGCTTTTGCGGAGCACGACAGTGGCTGAGATTCGACCTCGCCTTTGTAGTTTAACTAACTATTGGTTGGCTACCCAACAACGTTGACATTTGATTTCAACCACCAAGTTCAGTCTGAAACCTGCCGACTGAAAACCACAAAATTATTTGGTAATCCGTCAGTTACATGCGAAAATCCACAAACAAGAAAACTAGGACAAGACATGGAGTCTCAGCCGTGGAGCGTCTCCAAGGGGCATGGGTTGGCCAACCCTCCTTGCCATTGGGGAATATGTCTTGCGAGTGATAGTTTTATTCCAAGTTAGATTTCAGCTGTGCATGAGGATGTTAGCCAACTACAGCGTCTTGCGATAAAGCACGGCTACAAGACAGGAAACCTTCAGTAGCCTTTTATCATTTTGCAAGCTTTTGAGAACTTCGCTTAAAAAGTTGACGGGTGCCATTCCTCAACCTTGCATCAAGGAGTGCGTATACCTTCTTTTCATTATTGGAAATGCGCGGCATGTGAGAATCTCAGTTTCTATTCAGAAGTTCCTTGGAAGTCGCTGTCGCTTGAGTTTTGCTCTGCTTCTCTATTATCCCATCTCGGGTGCCACATATTTCGAATGGACAGAGCCTTTTGAATACCGAAACAGGCCTACTTTACAATTCGCACGTTTTTCCGGGAGATTAAAGCCTGATTTCTATAATTTGGGAGAATGTTTGGTCATAAATCATGGTGCTTTTCAGTTTTACCGGCTTTATGCTGATACGGAGAAACTAGATCCTGTCCATTATTCGGACGCTGTGAATTTTCTTCACACGACCATATTCTTTCACGGGGACGACCCAGCATAACTTCCCAAATATCTGCACGTTATATTTCATTGAAATAAACCCCACTGTTCGAATGCCATTGCAAGGCAATTGGAAGAACCTTACACAAAACATGACGGAACTTTTCAGATCATACTACATCTTGATGATAGCTGGAGTTTATAATTGTGGGCATTTTCATTGCTATGCCCTCCTCATGGAAGGTAAATTATCAACACCGGTGTTTTGCATCGCGAGGCCGTCCGCCACGACTTAAGAGACGCCGCATCTCGGGAACTGGTGCGAACATAACTCCTCTTCGTTTTAGGAATTGTGATATTTCTCTCAGATATAAAGGGGCAGTTGTTCCTCTCAATGAAGGAAGTGGTTATTGTTTAACCAAAAGTCGAGGATATTGGTCCTGAGAGATTCTAGCTGCCTCTCTACTGCCGAGAGCCGAATTTCTTCTTCGTCAGCAAATCAAGGTACATGATTGACATCTGGATAATATCATCTAAATATTCTGGATTTCCATACGCTAATAACAAATTTATAGCCCCTTACATATACCAGAATCTTGGTCAATCAAATTCCTGCTTGGAGATTCAGGAACGCATTCCGAACCACGCTGCCTACTAGCAAAAGGTGTGATAATTTCCTTGACGTGACGGAAAGACAGAACGGGTGGAGTACGCGCTTGCTGACTGCTGTAGATGTGTCACGTAGGGATAGTTCTCCGGACTGAGTGTGGGGCACCCGGAAAGAAGATAAGACCATACTTAGTAACGCTGCTAAGCAAACTGGTATACCGTGTTCGCTCCCACACCTTCCATTTTCTGATGGTGAAAATTTCTGGAGGTCTTTGTAGGTGTGCCTGCGTCAAACCCCTTTCTGATGACCATGAAATGAGGAGTTACATCTCTTTAAAAGCAGCTCTCTTTGTGTTCTTAGCTGGCTGGTGAGCTTCGTCCGCCATCTGGCTGAAGGCTTTCATTTTCCTTAGCTGGTGGAATAGTTGGTGGTGAATGGCATCTAGAAGGTTTTATGGGCGAAGCAATAACGGTCCCAAACTACCACTATCATTCTTTCAGATCTGACATATCTAATGTGATATTTGTGATATTTTACGACATCTTGATAATCGTCCTATGAGTCTGTGTAGACATGAATTTAAGCAACCGAGGTAGTTGCCTCTTAAAGTTGAATCCCTAAGGAAGTGTGAAATTACTCTAGTATATGCCCTTGGAAAATCCGCGACAATAGCTAGTACGTAAGGATCACTCCAGAGGTATGCACATTTTAGCCTTCTCTATTTGACTGTCAATAATCGCAATTGAATTTCTGGTTGTTCCGAAGATTCCAAGATTACTGACAGTCTGTTAAATTAACGATTTTCCCTTGCAGATTGTTAGATCTATAACCGCTAGGCTCAAAACAGACTAGCACGCTCCAGCTTCAGTTTCTGCATTTTTTGAGACTTCGGGGTTTATTTCCTCAACTGCGGGTCACATCGACAAATCAGACTCATTTTTGGATGGCCTGACCAAGGATTCCTGGGACGAGGGCGCTAAGGGGATGCCATGTCTGCCCATATGGCCTTCCGCCTCTCTCTCCTTACCCGACAATGGGGCCGATTCCCCCTCTCCTCCCTGCCCGTTCGACCCGGCCTCCGCGCCGCATCGACCTTCCCGCGGAGGCTAGACCTGCTAGCCGTAGATAAAAAGTGGAAAGACAGATGGCGGGATGATCCGACGGCACATTTGGTGAAGAACCATGGCAAGGAAAAAGCGTACATCCTTGCGATGTTCCCTTACCCGTCCGGTACGTTACATATGGGACATCTACGGGTTTATACCATTGCAGACATGCTTGCTCGTTTTAAGCACATGAAGGGATACGATGTGCTACATCCTATGGGATGGGATGCGTTTGGACTTCCGGCAGAGAATGCGGCGATCGAACGGGGAATTGACCCCGCCCAGTGGACGATGCAGAATATAGCCAATATGAAGGAGCAGTTCATGGCTATTGGGGCGCATTTTGATTGGAATAGGGTATGGTTAGATATGTGGGGATGTCTCTTTCTTTGGGCCTTTTCGTGTATATTGTTAGGGGTTCTCTATATATTCCCTGTTGCTGATGTTGTCTATGGTGCACGAATGCTGTAGGAATTGATGACCTGCTCTCCTGAGTTTTACAAACACACGCAGCGCTTATTCTTGATGCTATATGAACGGGGACTGGCATATCAAGCAAAAGCCCTGGTCAATTACGATCCTGTCGATAAAACTGTTTTGGCAAACGAACAGGTATGGATAGATTATTATTATCCTATGGGAGTACATTCTGATGTGTTTTACGCTAGGTGAATGCAAATGGGTGTTCATGGCGATCTGGAGCAAAAGTTAAAAAGGTCGAGCTGAAGCAGTGGTTCTTCCGCATCACTGCTTTTAAGGAGGCACTACTCAAGGATCTTGATGCGTTGGCAGATGGGTGGCCTGAGCGAGTGTTGTCCATGCAGAGACACTGGCTGGGCAAGTCCACAGGCGCGCATATTAAATTTCTGGTTTCCGCCCCAGACGATAATTATGACATTCAAGTGTTTACTACGCGCCCGGATACCCTCCATGGCGTCCAATATCTTGCTTTGTCAATAACCCATCCATTGGTGGTGAAATTGTCAAACTCGGATCCCGGGCTAAAATCCTTTCTCGAATCTGTTGTCTCTCTTCCACAGGACACAAAGGCGGGCTATCGACTTCCAGGAGTAGTGGCCGTCAACCCTCTCAGTTCTCTCGAGGCAAATCCTTCCCTACAATCGTCGATCCCTGTATACGTCGCGCCGTACGTTTTGGCAGAGTACGGCGAAGGTGCGGTCATGGGCGTGCCTGGCCATGATTCTCGAGATTTTGCATTTTGGAACGAAAACTCGGAATCCCAACCCGTGTCGTTTGTTATAAAGCCAAAGTCTTCCCAGGAACATAGAGTCTCAGAATCATCAACTGGAGAGTTAAAGCCATTCTCTGGGAAAGGGATTTTGGCAGATACCTGTGGATCTTACGGTGGCATGGCCTCTGACGAGGGTGGGAGTAAGATCGTTGCAGACTTGAAAAGGCAAGGGAATTTTGCAAATATCGCGGAAAATTGGAGACTTAGGGATTGGCTAGTTAGCCGACAGCGATACTGGGGAGCTCCAATCCCGATTATTCATTGTGATTCGTGTGGCCCAGTTCCTGTTCCAATTGACCAACTCCCTGTCGAGCTTCCCGTAATTGGAGGTGACGTCGGTCTTAGAGGCAAACAGGGAAATCCATTGGAATCTGCTGAAGAATGGCTTCACACCTCTTGCCCTAGCTGCGGAGGAGCCGCTAAAAGAGAAACCGACACAATGGACACTTTCGTTGACTCCTCCTGGTATTTCCTAAGATACCTTGACCCATTCAACAAAACGGCACCCTTCTCCGCTTCGATCGTCCAGCCTGTCGATGTATACATCGGAGGAATCGAGCATGCAATATTACATTTGTTATACTCTCGATTTATCTATAAATTTCTGGCAACTACTGAACTGTTCCCTAAAAAGCTACCAGGACCCGCAGCGGTCATGGAACCCTTTCTCAAACTTTTATCACAAGGGATGGTTCATGGAAGGACATATTCTGACCCGTTGACAGGTCGCTTTTTGAAGCCATCAGAAGTTGACCTATCAAATCCTGATGCCCCTTTGATCAAGGGCACCGGGATCACCCCAAATATAACCTTTGAAAAGATGTCAAAGAGCAAACACAACGGCGTGGACCCTACCACATGCATCAACACCTACGGCTCCGATGCAGTCCGCGCACATATACTGTTTTCCGCCCCTGTCAGCGAGATTCTTGAGTGGGACGAGTCAAAAATTGTCGGTATGGAACGGTGGTTTAATAGACTGTGGCGCGTCGTATCAGACGCACAAAATTCTTTGGAAAGTTTCTCGCTCTTGAGCAAGGAATCTCTGA